ACAAGTTCCTTTTTATGTTACTTTGGTGTGTGATCTTTAGGGTATGGCCAGCTTTCAGTATTTTCCAGCATTGTCTGTGGTTGAGCATCTGCAGTTCATATGCCACTTTTAATTTTAGGAAAGTTTAGGAGATGTTTTGGTTTGCCTTGGTTTAAATACTGCCTAGTTAAAATACATGTAGAGTAGCTGCCAAGCTAACCATCACTGTCTGGCTACTTTACACATTAGAGTGTTTTAATCCAGTGATCTTGCTGACTGGCTAGCTATCTTAACACTTTGTTCAGGGTAATGAGTCGACAGGTTTTTAACAAGCTCTCTCAGTCTAGTCTAATTGATAGTTATGTCATCATTTTTGCAAAGTACTTCCTTGAAGGAAACATTTAAAGCTCTGAGATTTACAGGACACAGGAGATATCAGCATGAGCAACATAATCTAAATATACTCTTGACATTGTGCCTGTGGTTAATCATTAACCACAAAACACCTTTTTACATCTGGTTTCATTTGCGGAGAGATGAAAATTTAATTCCCAGACTTCATGTCTAATAATCATTTAAAGATTATTTGACCTGTGGTGTGGTAAATTGTCATGATCTTTCTGTATCTCTGTCTTTCTCCTCAAGTATAGAGAGAGCTACAGAATCTACAGCCCCCCCATGGTCAGTAATGATTGAGCCAGCTTTGAATGTTTAACCTTCGTCTGTTGTTCTTTCACCACGCTGAGACAGAAAGGTCAAAGTGTAGCCTCTTTAGCTTGAATAAACCATTTTGTAAGAGAAGTCAGTGCTGTATGGAATTCTTAGCATTGTTAAAGTTTTGTTTAGTATCAGTTCCTCAGTATTTTCTCAAGACATATGTCTAAATTCACTAAAATGATCCTTTTTGGCACTGATGCTGCTGCAATGGTCATTAGTGTATTTGATTTATAACCAGTCATGACGAGACTCATTAGCTTTGGCAGGGAGAACCATTCATTTCTCATATTTGAGATGTTCAAATGAGAGAATGTTTGTTTGTTTTGTTTTTAATTGACTTAAATGATTGAATGATTAATCATTTCAGCACTAATTATGATACCCAGAAAACGGGACAATAGAACGACATGCTCAAGCCACAGGTGTTTTAAATAATTGATTGATTGGCTCCGCTCCAGCTGATGATGGCCAAACTGAAGCAGGTCTACACTATGTTGTCTTCTAACTAAAAGTTGTATATAAGGTTTAAGGGACAAAGACACTTTTTAAGAGAGTTTAACCAAACATTAAAGATCTTTTTCTGCACATAACCTATTGAAATGGCAAGGTTTAATGGTCTCCCCCTTTAGCTGGTGACCGGAGTTGTTTTATTGCTCATTATCATTAATCATTAATCAAGGGTTATACTATTAGTTCATCGCTGATTACTTCTTCTGGTTGGATAATTTATAAAAATTTAGTTGGGTTTTAATGAAGTGACCTTTTGTGGTGTGTTTTATTTGTCAAGGCAGTGAGAGGACACAATAAAGAATAAAAAAAAACACAGTTTACACGTTAAAAAAATCGTTAAAGGGTTCAGCACTAACTGTGATACATTCTGCACTTGTACTGGTAGAATTTTATTTATTTATTTATTTATTTATTTAATTCTACATGTTCCTCTTTATGGCGCAGCACGGTGGCGCGGTGGTTAGCGCTGTTGCCTCACAGCAAGAAGGTTCCGGGTTCGCGACCTTTCTGTGTGGAGTTTTTATGTTCTGCGGTATAGATGATGGATGGATGTTCCTTTTTATATGATACTGGGCAGGCATCAAAGAGAGGGGTATGACGTGCAGCATTGAGGTAATACAGTATAGTATGGTCCTTTACCACAGGGCTACCAGAACACTACTGTGCATCATAGATTTTAGTTAGTTATAGGTCGAGATTATTGTTGGGTATTTTTAGTCAGATAGAAATTGGATAGATACTTTATGTATTAGAAATGTTTAGTGGAGACTAGTTAGACTGTTAAATGCTTAGTCATGCTCATGAGTTTCTACAGGGTACATCTGGTCAAGGATAACTAGAGAGAAGAGTTGATGACTGTCAGCAGACAGGGTGTTTAATATTATTATTATGACGTGTATAACTGTAGCCTTAGCCATAATATGTTCTTATGTTTAAGTCACGACATGTTACTAGAGGTCGTGAGAATGTTTTTAGCTACACACCACTTAATCAACAGACACACACACACATTGATTTGCTTCATGTTTAGTACATTTATTTTTTATTTCAGAGGTATTTTAGTTCTGTAAGTGGCATGTGATTAATGAATGCATCTTAATTCTACTCAGTTTTGCACTTTATTTGCAATTGGTGTGTGTGAGAGTTGGCGCCGCAGATGGCTGTCCTCCTCCTGTACCAAGACAAATTCCTTCTATGTGTAACATACTTGGCCAAAATGAAAGTAAGTTATTAATGTTTTGATCCCATTTTCATTCTCTTTCATCCATCTGTATGCAGTGCTAAGCACTTTGAATTACTTCTGTGTATGAAAATGTGTTGTATAAATGAACTTGCCTTGCTTGTTTTAATATACTGGGTGTAATGATACCAGCGTTGTAATGGGCAGTGGGCTTTAATGTACCAGTTACACAGTGATCTGTTCATGCATCATCTTTCTGTACCGAGCTAACAGTATCATTAGACAGTAACCACTGTATTCACTAACAGGGTGTGGCAACACTGAGGGCACCGTGCGTGTGTGTGCATGCCTGTGTGTGTGTTGACTGTTCCTTTTTTAGCTGAGAGAGGAAACTCAGCCAGCATCATCGGAATATTATACGCTTCTGTGGGTGTGTTTATAAAATGTTTCTCCAAACAGTTCTTGGGAGTTCAAGAACAGAATGTGTGTGTCATAGTCTATGTGTATGTCCCACCCTGTCTTGCATAACAAGTGCTCATTAACGCCGTGATGGCAGCACTTGAGACATTGTAATTTTCTACAGATCGTACTGACGGGGGAGGGGAGTGACTTTACTGCACGTGTGTGTGTGTGTGTGTGTGTGCGTGTGTGTGTTACGTTATATGGTAAGCAGTGACTTCGAATAACGATAATTAGTTGATCAGTAGAGAATGTCTTTGTTAATTGAGTCATTGTTTTACCATTGAGCTTCTCAAGTGTCAGGATTTGATGAGTTTTGTTGTCTTACATGATAGTAAGCTGATTATCTTTGGGCTCTGGACTGTAAACGTTTTAAAACAACTCATGCTGTCTACACTGACAGACACGAAGTGGAAAAAATGACCGTTATGAACTAATCCTGGTGACATTTATTCCTGTAAAAGCGCTGCCTCTTGAGTACAACTGTCACAGAAACAAAGTATGTAGAATTTAGGAAATGAATGCAAGTCAGTGGAGAGCCTTCAGAGATATGTGTGGTGTTTCTGTGGCCAGGCAGCTGTGTGTGTTCAGTTCCTGTTATCTTAAACTGTCACGCTGGTTTCCTTCTGAGCTTTATGGCTTGTATGTGTGTGTTTGTGTGTGTGTGTATCTGTGTCGGTGGCTTTGGTAGCTCTGTGGTGACAACATGTTGCAAAGCCTTGTGTGTGAGGAAATAAAAGTCACTGGGAATATGAAACTTTTTATGCAATAAATCGGGTCTTAGCTGAATTTCTTTTATTGCATTCTCTGCATTGTTATTTAAATTCAACATTATGAATAATAGTAATTGACATTACATATTGTGCTTTACAACAAGTTTGTTTTCCTTTTGTGGAATTTTTACCATCAAATTTTTCAACAACTCATACGTGCCTTTTTCTCCCACATGCTTTAAAACATCAAGAAAACCCTTCCCTTCCTTTTCTCCTCATTTAGCCCTACTTTTCTACATACATAGATTGTATATAGATTTTTCCAAATTCAATTACAATTGTATGCATATTTTTAAAAAGACGTTTATTATTATGTGGATGTAAGCTGCCATTCATGATTTTGTTTGTGTGTGTCATCTCCTCTTCCTCTTCTCAGAGTTCACAGATTGATCCAGAGGAGTTGTTCACCAAATTGGATCGCATCGGAAAAGGATCTTTTGGAGAGGTGTGCCGTTTTTCACAGTGGATTTTTGGTGTTGTTAATCCTGGTTTCTGGTTTAAGTCTTTGCACCTTCTCTATTTTTCCTTTTCTTGCTTTTTATTTTTCTTTTCTCTTTACTGCTCATCTGTCATACGCTCTTATTCTGTCATGTACAGTATATATTTTTTACTTTTCTAATTTGCTTTGTGTTCTTGGCATCTTCTCTTCTGTTGTAAACTGTCCTTAAATTACTCTGTTGTCCTGTTACTTATTCAGTAAACAGTTTTGCCTTTCTCTTCCTCTCTTGACTCTCTTTTGACCACCTCCATCTGTCAGTTCCCAATTTCATGATGTTATGTGTTCCTCCTCCTGCAGGTGTTTAAAGGTATTGATAATCGCACTCAGAGCGTTGTTGCTATAAAGACCATTGACCTGGAGGAGGCTGAGGATGAGATTGAGGACATCCAGCAGGAGATCACAGTACTCAGTCAGTGTGACAGTCCCTACATCACCAAGTACTACGGTTCCTACCTGAAGGTAAGACAGACTATGTTTTTGTTGATCTGTGTCACTGGAACAATGCAAATGCAAAGCACATACTCACTGGATGCTTCTTTCTTTCTTTTTTCATAAACAAGGTCATGTTAACATTCAGTGTGTGTGGAAACGGAAAAGAGAAAAGTGATCTGTTATGCCATTTGCTTTTCCTGTCAGTTAAGAAAGCAACTCCTGTCTCTTTCAGGGCAGTAAACTATGGATCATCATGGAGTATCTTGGTGGGGGTTCAGCGCTGGACTTGGTGAGTGCTTAAACTGATTTCAACAGGTTTATAAAAGTTTTTCTGAGTTCACTCTTGTCTCGGGTGCAACAGAACAGGGTGTGTGGGAGATCCTATGTACTGCGCTCACCATATCAATTAGTGTTTATATCTGGGTCATCACTTGGCGTTTCTGTGTGTGCGCAGCTGCGGGCGGGTCCGTTTGATGAGTCTCAGATTGCCACTATGCTGAAGGAGATCCTGAAAGGGCTTGACTACCTGCACTCTGAGAAAAAGATCCACAGAGACATCAAAGGTATGGAAGGGAAAAAACACTACTGCTGCATCATTGTGTAAATCCCTGTGCCCTTCACCAGGTAATACTGGTTTTCAGTCAAAAAATGTACAGACTTTATGCCGACATGTGCTACAGAGGAAGTTACAGAGCTGTTTTGACATGCTAAGTAGCAGCACTGCATGTGACCTGTAATGTGACTTTGACTTGTAAAACTGAGAGTCACACAGGCAGCATATTCAGCCTCGGCTCCTGTAGTTATTTTCTGCCTTCTCCTGCATTTAGGGTCAGGATGGGTATAATTTCTGACTTTGGCTTCCCAGAGTTGTAGTGTCAAAATAGTCACTGGTACACCACGAATCTGACCCAAGAAAATGAGAATGAATAGGCTGAGAGGAAGATTACAGACCATATGTATATTTAGACTATACACTGTACTGTATGTGTCTCACAACTTTTCCTGTGGGTATAAACACAGTACAGTGAAATCTGTTTTAATATCCGCTTGTCTTGAACCATGCCGTATAGCATTTGCTGACTGCTAATGTACAGTGTGTAACCAGATACTATCATTGTACAATGTAAACATATTGGAGTTTAAAGATTATTGTCCTAATTTTAGTTTCTACTCTCAGTATTTATTATTTTTGTTTATTTATATTTGGCATTATAATTGCATTTTCTTATATTCTTTATTTTTTGTTTTATTACTGCTTTGCTTTTTTGTTTGTTTGTTTTTGTTTTGTTTTTTTATTACTGCAATTTCCCTCATTATTGCTGCCAGTTTCCAATATGGTACCTGCTTGAATTGTGTAGATCCTATGTGTTTTTTATTTCTCCTCGTCTCTTTCTGAACTTTTGCTTCATATATACTTTATTTGATTTATTCATGGATAGTAGCCATTGTTCAAATAGCAAGTATATTGAACAACAAAACCTAATCCTGATTAATCAGACTCAATATTAATAATAAATTCTTGTAGCTGCCAACGTCCTGCTGTCGGAGCACGGTCAGGTGAAGCTGGCGGACTTCGGGGTGGCTGGTCAGCTCACAGACACGCAGATCAAGAGGGAAACCTTTGTGGGAACACCGTTCTGGATGGCTCCTGAGGTCATCCAGCAGTCCGCCTATGACTCAAAGGTCAGGCACATGTTTATATTACTACGGTCATTCAGACCTTCAGTAAGCCTCCTAAAACAAACACACAGAAGGGGATGGGTTAACCAGTGTGTATATTGCTAAAGTTAGCCTCCCTGGCTAAGTAGCCACCAGCAGTACAACTGTAACGTAGCTGTTTCAGAGGCCAATATTTAACATATTATTAGATAACTTTGTTATTTTGTGCACTTATGGGTTATGACACATCCTGACTCCCTGCAGTGAACCTGTATTTAATAAAGAGGCTGCTGAGTGTGCTTTACTTTGACTCTAGCTTTTGGGCAGACACCAGCTATTAAATAGCTTCCTTGCACAGAATTATAGCATCCTTCTCAGACACCTACTAATATACATACATTGTTTTTTTCCCCCCCATTTATATGGGTTGATAAATGTGAAAGAAGCCACTGTGTTCCTCAGATGTACTGGGCTTTGTCTGTGTTTGGCAGGTTTCCTTTTCCTATTTGGTTGAGGGTGGTGGAGCTGTAGTAAACTGAGTCCTGGTTGTTAAAAGGATAAATACAGTTTATGGCTGCGGGATATCTCTGTTGTCTTTACAGTTTGTGCCATGTTTGCGTATTGCCGTAGCAACCTCAGGCACGTGGATTTGTCGCTGTGTCTGGCTTTGAAGTCATTTGCATTATTTTTACAATCTTTTGGGATTTATTTGCATGTAATAGAAGCACTCCTATTGTCCTGGACTGCAATGAGAAAAGTTAGAGTGAATTCTAATGTTAACCCTAGATTTTCCTCATAATGACACGTGTCAATTTGGTTTCATTTTACAGGGGATTCCCCCCTGTTTTTTAATTATTTTTTATATATATTTGAATCACAGCAACTGTCTCAGAAAGAAATACCAATTTGCCACAACAAAGGACGTCAATAACAAATGCACACAAGCCAAACAAACCCCTACGAATGCTTTGCTGCAGCTGCTGCCATCAAAGAAACAGGCAAATGTAAAGGGCTGGTTTAAATAGTTGGACATGATACCCAATAACAAAGTAAACAAATGTCTTTATGAAGTTATATAATAAGGTGACGTCTGCTGAGCTACTGTCTGTCTTTGTTGCACTACATGTCTGAGCAATGTGTGTGTGTGTCTGGTTCACTGTGTTTTGGAAATAGGGCAAATCCATTAGGGCGTGTGTGTACTTTGTCGCTTGATGTTGTTTGATTCATGTTGGCATGTGTACACGCATTCTCATGATATTTGTGTGTATTTAAAAGGGATGTCTGTAAATGCGTGTTTTAGGAACCTATGTTTGTGTGTACATTGTATTTCTGATGCCGTGATCACTGTTCAGACTCGTAGCTCCACTCACAAAACATCATGTACGATTTGTATCATTTGTAAGGGCATGTCAAACTACTCGTTTAACCAAACTCCGACTGCAGGCTGTCATATAGTCGGTGTGTAACAGTAATGGAGCTGGTGAAGTTAATAGTCAAACGGTGACCGAGCATCCTGTCGTAATGTGACCCTGAACAGCTCTGCTACGACCGTACAATGGCCTGCGTCAGTCCGAGAGAGTCTGTGTTCCTTACCTGGGCTGGCATATGGTCCTTAGAGCAAGCTGAGAAGACGTGACATTCAACCTGTCTGCTTGTCTAACTGCTGAGTATGTGTGTCCTTGTGTTTGTGTGCTCTTGTCTAGGCTGGCATATGGTTAGTGGGTGTCACAGCTATCATGCAAACAAAAAATCAACAGCTCTCACCCAAACCACCTGGCTGTGTGTGTGTGCGTTCATGCATGAATAGTTGTGTAAACTCTATTCCTAACAGGTAGTGAAACAGGTGAATACACTTTAGTTTGTAACCAAGTTGTGCTAAAACAAACAGTGAATTTATAATTGAATAACAGTTTAATCAAGCAAAAATGGTTCCAGCTTCTCCATTATGAGGATTTCCTTTTTTTTTTTTTCCTCTTGTGTTGTATGGCGTAAATTTACAATGACAGACAACACAGACATTTTATAGGATAAGCAATTAATTGCTTAATTAGACCCATAACTGACATATGATTTAATAATGAAAGTAATCCTTTCCTGCCCTACAGCAAAGGTAGCGTCACAGGTTGTCTAAAATGCTGCTTGGTTAACATCTACACTTTAGTATTTTGACCTGAAAGGCTGTCAAAATCTTGTTCAAACCTTTTTGTCTCAACAGATCCACAGAAAATGTTTTAGGTTAAAAAAAACACTTGACCCCTGTGTACCAGGTTATAAAGTGTTCTGTAAGGAGCTTTTAGTTTAGTTTGGTTTTTCACTAACAGCAGCTGTGGTCAGTTTGAACTCCCGGCACTTAGCTAGGATGATAAATTGCCTGAACTTGCAACAAGAGAGAAGGAATTTCTCCCTGTTGTGATGGTGGGACTGGACTTCTGTCTCCACTGAAACTGTACAAAAAGTTATAGGACAACCTACATAACATGAAACATGAATTCTCTCAGGAATAAAAGACCCTTTTGGTAGTTGTGTCATAGTCAAAGTATAAAAATACAAAAAGCGTGTCAAAGAGTTTGATTGTTGACTGTTGCTAACAGGTGTTAAGTGTCCAATCTTGCACTCAAGTGAAAGCACATTGGTGCTGAATATCGTTACACCAGTGAGTGTTTAATTGTGACTGTGTGTGTCTGTCCAGGCCGACATTTGGTCACTGGGCATCACTGCCATTGAGCTCGCCAAGGGTGAACCTCCGAACTCGGAGATGCATCCGATGCGAGTGCTGTTCCACATTCCCAAGGCTTCCCCGCCGACGCTGACAGGAGATTTCTCCAAGAGCTTCAAAGAGTTCACCGAGGCCTGCCTCAACAAGGACCCTACCTTTGTAAGCCACAGACAAAAGACCACTTTATATTCAATCTAAAATGATTTTATTTTTTTCATTTTTGTAGATGTTGCCTCTTCAGAATCTCTATCTTAGCCATCTTTTTGCTTTAGCAATAGTTTTTACTTATACATAATTTATGTAGTTTTTCCCATTTTACGTGATGTTTTGAATTAAATTGGGTTTTTTATGTCATTTATTTTAATCCAGCTTCCCTTTACTGTCTGTCATTGTGGTTGCATTGTGCTGCCCCCTGGTGGATTAACTCTTTAAAGCTGTTTAGCAACATCTCCTTCCTTCCTCTTATTTGTCTCTCTTTCTCTTCCTCCTCCAAATATGTGCCATGTGACAGTCGGTTAAGATAAAGATCTTATGCATCTTTTTTGCTGTCGTGAAGTAGTTTTTATAAGACTGAGTGTGGTTAGTCGACAGAGGAGAGTAAATATGTTCTTTGTTTGTTCTCTCCTCGTGCAGCGTCCCACAGCCAAGGAGCTCCTCAAACACAAGTTCATTGTCAAACACTGTAAGAAGACATCCTACCTCAGCGAGTTGATTGACAGGTACAGGAGGTGGAAGGAGGAGGGGCATAGCGACAGCAGCTCTGATGACTCTGACAGGTAATTTGATCTCGTCTCTTGAGGCAACAACATCATTTCCACATTCAGAGAGTCTCACAATCTCTCTTAGAAATCATAATGAAACTGTGCATAGCCCAGTGCTCAGTCAGCAACATGAATGGGTATGTATCTGTTATTGTGTACATGTGTTTGTAAAGTGAGTCCAGTAACAAAGAAAACAACGACTGTCCTGAGTGGTCCTTCACCACAGTGCGTAAGAAGAAGACAGAAGGCAGGAAGGTCCTCAATGGAACGGTCAGTGCTGTGTGTGTGTGTGTTGTTGAAGTAATAAGATGCATGACCTGCATTTGCTTTAGAAACAGCTTTTCATGAGAGGGGAAAAAACAAAGGTTTATTTCTTACTGCAAAAGTGTAAATTTGCCACGAAGTTCACAAAATGTTTAGTGACGTAAAACTACTGTGGGAGCCATCTACTGACTTAAATCTTATAATTCATGATTTCCAGACAATAATTAGTTCAAAATGAGTTTGATACCCATGTGACTTCAGATGGTAAATCAGGTAGTGGCCATTTGTGAGATCAGTGACCGGTCAAAACATTATTTACCATGACTGGCTTCCATAGGAACCAACCACCCAACCTCTGGCCCATTTAACTATGGATTGATAATCGTTATTTTGTCATTTGTAAAATAATTTTGGATGTGCTCTTTAGCTGTCTACCTCTTCTTCCTCCTGTTCATCTGTGTAGGCTCAGGATCAGATAAATAAATCTGCCAGTCTGACCACAGTCATCTCTCCTGTCTTCACTGAGGTTTGTCTACACACACTTAGAACAAGTCATTAAAACATAAAACAGTTTTAAAATCCTCTGGCTTATAGAAGAATCATCCTGCTGATATGAAATGTCTAAACTGTGTGTAGCAAAACAATGGAAGCTCCACATCAAAAATATTCCAAAAAGAGAGAAGTAAGTCCTATATTAGATGAACATATGAGACCTAACGTGAATTAGGAGGGAAGTTGAGAAGCACTAGTGGTGTGTTTGTTTTTCCACTGATCAGAGTCAAACTAGTTGTTTACCCTTGTTTCTTGTCTGTAGGCTAAGCTAACCAGATGCTGCCTGTAGCTTTATGTTTACTGCACAGACATGACAGTGGTATGAGTCTTCTCATCTAACTGTTAACAAAGTGCATTAGTGTGCTTTTAAGACTGAGCAACAAGCCTGCAACATAAATTTCACAGAATACACAAAGGCAAGAGTCCAAGGTCCCCTGGTGCAGCCACACCCCTGTGACATATGTGACTATCCATCAAAAAAAATTTCCTTTCCCACAATTTCTGCAGTATAGTACTGGTGGAGAAATATGAAATCTGTTTTTTGTAATTCACTCTTTTGGTCTGAGCAATCAAATTTAAGAAGTTTTGATTTAAAAAATGCCCAAATGAGGCTTTAAAATGTGTGTATATGTGTGTAATTGTCATTAATTGTCTGGGGGCGACAGTGGTACGGTGGGTAGAGCAGTCATTTCCCAACCGGAAGGTTGGTAGGTTCGAATCTCTGTGGCTGCAGTCCACATGTCGAAGTGTCCATCCTGTCGTGTCCCCCCCAAGCTGCCCATGATGGTGGTGTGTATGCTTGCAGCGACCCGGGCCTTCTTCTTCTTAAAACTCCCAAATTCTTAAAAACAGTACTGTCCTCAAAAACACTTAAACTGTATGATCTTTCTGAAGTATTGCTTATTTTCTGTAAAAACTAACATGCAGATGTTGTTGTCTTCTTGTTCTGTAGCTGAAACAGCAGCACAAGGAGCACTCTGAACAGCGATTGGCTATTGAGGAGCTGGAACGCAACATCCGATTGGCTGAAGAGATCTGTCCAGGTATCACGGACAGGATGGTCACACATATTATTGCCAGGTACCAGAAGTATGTTTTTCATTTTCTAAATTGATCTCCTCTTTGGTTTTCTTTTGTTTGTTTTCTCTGTGTACTTCTTTGTTTTATTTCTGGCAGATTGAACCACCAGCTCTCTGGTTAGGGGACAACCCGCTCTACCTCCTGAGCCGCCAAAGGCTGCAGCAATTATCTTCTTGAATAATTAATTCATTATTGACTATTTCCTGAGGCCAAAGTCAACATATTCTAATTTCTCTGTTTGTCTGACCAACAGTCAAAAATCCAAAAATGTTAGTTTGCTGGCATTGAAAACTTGTCTCTTGATGGCCACATTTGAGAGGCTGCAACAAGTGGGTTTTGGCATTTTATGCTTGAAAAATAACGAGTTATTAATTCATTATTTTCTCTCAGTTGATTAATCAGCATTTTTTTGCATACTGGAGTACTAATTGGTTTGTGTGTGCCTTGGGGGGGAATAATGAAACTGACAACAGCTGGGTCAGTAAGGGACCAACAACAAATATTTGCACCGCCACCACTACTAGGAGGTTAATCCAGCCATGCTCTCGTCCTTAGTATTGTTCAAAATAAGACATCTGTCTCTTTCTCCGTCATGATGTTTGTCATTCTCCCTCAGATTCGCAGCCAAGTGAAGGACGGACAGATCAACAAAGAAAGTACATACTGTAAAATGAAGACGAGCTGTCTCCATACAGTGACGCTGCTGGATGATTGGAAATCGAGGAGACTTGCTGTGCGATGTCTCCTTACTGTACACAGTCTCTCACACACACACACATGCACACACACACTACTAATGTAATATATACACTATATATTGTATTGTTTTTTCACTGCTGCTGGTTGAAGACCATTTTTTCTCCCCATGCTGGATTTGAAAGACAGCTGCATATTTGAATCAGAAACTGCATTTTTGAAAGTACAGTCTGAGTTGTTAGTTGGATTTATGGGTTTCATTTCCCCTTTTTAGGGTCATGAACATCTCTCTGCTTGTCTTTTTTTTGTAATCACTTCTTCAGCTTCATTTTTTATTTGTGTAAAATAAAGCAGACTTAATTCACTTCTACATCTGGAAGTAAGTAAAGTTTTCTAATCTTCCTAAACTTCCAAAATTACCATAATGTGCCTTAATTCTTGAAGAAATCAGTCATTTTCTAAAAGATATCACTTTTTTCTTTCTTTCTTTCTTTTTTTTTTTTACCAGAGATGTCATGTATTTGTTGAAGCCACACAGAAAGGGATTCTTGTCCATCAGCAGTGCGATGTTTTGTTTCACGACTTGCCTTGATTTTGTAGATGACTTAATCATTTGTCCAGTAGCACTTGAGACGCATTGTATGCCAATATTACATTTGTTTTGTTTTCTTCAGTAATGCTTTTCAATTACAGTTCCCTGATCTTGGAATTCAGTCAAGTTTAGAGATACCCTTCTAAGTGTGGAAACTTTGAGGGTTCAGTTTCTTTATTTTAGCTTTGATTTAACCCCAGTCCTCAGCTTGACTCACACATTCAGACAGTAACTAACTTGGACATTTTGAAACATTTTTCTTTTCTGTGTGGAAAAACATGTGAAATATTTTCTAAACCCATATTGGGCTAATTTTTGGCAACTGCCAGACTTTAGCCCAGTTCAGTAGTTAGTAGCTTGCCGTTCAGTAAGCTGGCTAGCTAACTGTTGCTGTAGCCGTTGCCAAAATATTTAGCCAAATGTAACAATTAAGTATGTTTAAAATCCTCAAGTTTATTAAACTGTTGCCACAGACAATAACTTTATAGCCTAAATGCTGAAAATGGCTGCCATTTGAATTGAAGGTTAGCGTAGGTACTTCTTTGGTAACAGTAGCATCAAAATGTCGTCAGAATTAGTTTAATGAAATGGTAAAAAAATCCTGACATTGCATTGTGTGTGAAAGTAATTTTACTGTTGGTGAAGACTGTTTTTGTTTAAATAAGATTTCAGTGATGAACAACTCTGCTAGCAAGGCACAAAAATGTCTTGTACTCGCTTGTGTAAAGTTTATCATGTGTCAAGCTAGTGAAAACAGTTGTCAACTTGTCTAAAGGCTCATGTGTAGATGTGCTTTTTAATTGGAAAGTAGCACAAATTCTTTTTTAAGAGCATGAAGGGAGCTGTAATCAAAGGTATTACTGACCGTTTGTACCAAAGACACTATAAAACTTGGTCATTGTATATTTTTTTGTCATTTTTATATTATAAGGGATACGACTGTTTGTTGAGGGGGGAAGTGTAAAATGAAAGCTGTACGATTTTGCAGATGTTTTCTTTTTTTGTAGCGGGACTTAGTTTTATGAATAAATATTTAAGTTTGAGAAACTCGTTTCCTTAAGTTTGAATTTTTTGAAAATCATGAGACAAGCTTTACTACTTGCAGTGATTGTTCATACATTGGTTATTATTGTGCAAACTTTTCATTTGAGTCCGTTTTAGAAATGTTGATATAATAGGAGTAGTTTCTGACAATGCTTGTTTTATTATCACAGTGCATCTTAAAATATCTGGATACAATTTGATTGCTTGGGTGAAATTACCCATTGTACAATTAGTACGATAAATATACAAAACATCATGACCATGTGACTAATCTGTAAATCTTGTTGCATTGTATTAATTTCATCAATTTTACCTTTTTTGTGTATAATTCTTTATTCACAAATTGCTATATAAACAGTCTTTTAGTTCACGTATTTCTACAGAATTCACAAGAGCTGTTCACACAAAATACATTGGAATGTTTTGCAATATCTTTTCCAACCCTACAGGTGCATCACACTGACAGAACTCCTAAAATATGTATTTCTTTTAAACAGTGGTGAAACTATTTCCTCAATTCCACTAAACGGCCAAACAGTGCTTAAGTAAACTTTGTTTTATTACATCCTGTGTTTAATTTCACACTGTACACAGCCAACCTGAAGTTGAACTGGAAACTGTTAACACACAATCTGGATAATAATTTTACCATTTGTCTTAATATTTTCTAACCAGTACATTTGACTAGCCTAGCAGTTTGTCATCCGACTGTGTGTTTCTTGTTTTACCCGTTTTTAGCAATGGTGTCATTTTGTGTTCTCAGCTGTTACTTTGTGAGTCATCGAAAAAATGAAAACAGCCACAAAAACTTCAGTTTCCTAGAATCTGGCTTACAGAGTGCATGTTGTCCTAAATTTCTAGTGGGAACTTAAGACAGGTGTGTTTCCCCAGAATTCAATTCATGAAGTTAAAGTTCAATAAAATCAAATGCTCAGAGTCCACTGAGGCAAAATGGAGACTGGTTAACACCTGATTCCCAGCAACAGACAGGTTCAAAACGATGCTGCCATGCTCCGAGTGTCATTAAAAAAAGGTATTTTAGTGCTGTAGCAACAGCACTTCTATTGCTATAGCATGTATGGCTTACTTGACCTTGGATGGTCATCTAGGACTGCTACATACAGTAGATATTTTGCAGGTATTAATAGGCTGTACCCATAATGAGGCTATGCAACAGCAATATGTTAGGTTTTAGAAGATAAGGTATTGGTTAAAACAAGGCAAAAAATACATTTCATCTGCGAGTACACTTAAAAAAAAATTCTAAACCCCATTTATCACAACAGTGGTACTTGTTTTTTTAATGACAGTTTTTAATGTGATTGTTTTCACGAACCTTTCAACTGTTTCCATGTGTATATTAGTTGAATCTCTACAGTGTGACCTCTGTAATCTTCTTTGTATCCTTCACCCTGTCTGCTTCTGTCTTTTCTCTGTCCTCTTCACCTTTCAACTCATTTACTTCTTCCTTCACTTCTCCATCTTCTTCCTCATCTCTCTCTTCCTCCTCATCCAGCTGGAGGCTCCCAGAGGAAAACCTCATTCTGGCAAGTCCGGTGGTGCGTACCGCCTTCCCCAATGGAGGTGGTTGGTAGTAATATGGATAGAAAACCTCCTGGTCTGAGTCACTGTAGCTCCCCATGGTGGCTCTAATCATGCACAGCGAAGTGGGGCGTTCAGGCACAGGTGAGGAGTTTAGTGGCAGGTAAGTGGGTCTGGGGGGCCGTGTCAGGTGGGGGTAGTAACCAAGGGGCCGAAACTCAGAGGCAGGATTAAAATCAGAGTTGGAACTCCTTGAGAGGTGGAACTTAACATCTGGTTGGCTTGCCACACGGCGAGGCAGCCCCGGGAGGAAACTGGAGTCATCACTGTAATGCCCTGCCTCTGTATGTCCAGCACCCAAGAACCTTGCTCCATTGCTTCCTGGCTGGTAAACCCTGGCCAATCCCAGCCCACCTGATCCAGAGGAGTGGAAGTTTCTCCTGATTGGTGAATTAGATGGTGAATCGTGGCTTAACGGGTTAAAGGATGGCAGAGATAGACCATCCATTGTCACATAATCCCTCCTTCTTGTCAGTGGGAAACGCTCCAGTGAAGAAACAGCAACGTAATCTGTCAAAGGGGGGTGTCTGTTGTTTGGCGAGGAACCGGCTAATGGAAATGTGGGGAGGATGGGGTGATACCGGTAGGCACGGCTGTTTGGGTAAAGAAGAACCAACTGCTGTGCAGCGTCTGGATGTGGCTGGGGACTTGCCCGACGTCGTGACCGGTTGCTATAGATACCAGCTAGCCTTTGGGCTTGGCGCTGTGCACAGATGCGTCCCCTCATATCCTCCATCATAGATGTTGAAGCTGATCTTCTCTTCGGGGATGTGGTTGAGTGGTGGAAAGACAGAGCTTTGGGGGTGACTTGTGAGAGAGGCCGGGACCTCTGGGTGACCTCAACAGATGATTGGCTGCATTTAGTTCTTAATCCCCTGATTTCAATCTCATCTGTTTCTCTATAATGTGGATCCAACTCATCCTGACTTCGGACCACCAAGGCATGGCCCAACTGAGGAAATGGGCGGGAGTGCTCATACACCTGAGGCAGTAAGACAAACACAAACATTAGACTTTTCTATACATCTTGTTAGAACTGCAACTCAATTTTTTCATCAATTAATCTGCTACATTTCAGTGTCTTGATTATTTGTCTGGCCACTAAAATATATACGTATGAAAAATGACAATCAAATATCAGAGTCCAAGGTGATGTCATCAAATGTCTTAAAATCCAATCTTCAAATCACACATGAGCAAATATTTAACATTTTTCCTTAAAAAAAAACAGTTGCACATTAACTAATCAATCAACTGTCTAATTTAGTTTATGAATATGAATGTATTTCATAAATGATTTTGAACTCTGTAAATATAAGCTTTTATTACTTGTTTGGAGACATCGGTGAGGAGATCAGGAGAAGATTGACACTGTCTGGGGTCATAGTCTGACTGACAGTAAGTCCTGGTGAATAGAAAAGATTTTATACATGTGAATAAATTTAAGATGCCCAAAAAAGATCTTTCAATCAGGTTTCTATTTAATGTTCAAACTGATAAACTTTATTGTTCGTTGTTGCCCCTGTCCCAGCTCTTTTGGAACATGTTGCAGACATCAAGTTCAAAATGAGTGAATATTTGCAACAAACAAATTTGATCAGTTTGAACATTAAATATAACATCTTTGTGGTGTTTTCAATTAAATATGGGTCAAAAAGGATTTGCAAGTCACTGTATTCTGTTTTTATTTACATTTTACACAATGTCCCAACTTCACTGGAATTGGGGTTTGTAATATTGCAGCTGTTAAATGAATGTCTAAAATACACAGTAAATTCAAGCAGAGACAGGTTAGGTTTGTTGAAGAGGATGAATCTGGCTTCATGCTGGGGTTTGCCATCTCTCCACAACAGTAGGAGATTCACTGCCAAGGTGGGTTAAAACTCTGGTGAATAGGTTGGCACCATTGCTGGTGGCATTTTCTTCATGCTGCAGATAAACTGAGGCATCAGTATATTCTTTGTCCCAGGAATCTGATACGTCTGGCTGATGAAATTTGTTTTCACCTCTCAAAGTGTGAAGGCTTCTTCTCCCCTGATCCCATACACTCCATCAGCTGTTTCTGTGTCCGTCCACTGCCATACAAAATAGTGTTAAACAGTAAGAGGCCTTTTTTAATGGAACGTATTTTGGCAAGTCACTGTAGGAAAAGCACAGGTGTAAATGATCAAATTATTAAGTTCCATTTAGTTGTTTAAAACTATATAAAATCAGAAATTAAAATGCACAAAATTTGGAAGCCATATTCACAAAAAACAAGGATTAACTAAAAATCTTGTTCACAAGGTTGAATGTTGCACTGACAGTCATAATTCAGATTTAGCCAACTAGGGCAATGGAAAAACTTGCTTTGTGTTCAGTCTGAATGATCACTTTTCTCAGTGTGTTTTGTTGCAAGTTTGTTTTTGTGTATGTTTTACCTGTATCTAAAGCTGGAGCCCTTACAGGACAGCAGTGTTTTGTGTATTGCCTTCGGTTCCTCGGCCAGTCTGAAGAAGGCGTGGTACTCCACACACATCTTCCAGAAGGACTTGCACACATCACGACTGGCCATGCAGAACTCCAATGTGTCTTTACGCAATGGCTGGGTGGACATCCCGCAACACACAGATTAATACATATATACAGCTGAATATTTTAAAAATGCACGTCAGGACTGGCAAACACCGCCTGGTCAGGCCCTCACCCCAACTTTGTCATGTAGTTTGATGAGGAAATGTTTGCGTTTGAAACTCAGCTTTCTGATTTTCGCCCAGCTAAATGTATTGATTTTGGTGTTTCCCTGGAAAACAAAGAGGGGAAAAAAGTTGATAAAATAAAAAGGTTGTTCCATGCACAGTGTTTGTTATTGCTTCCTTTAATCTCACTGCTAATGTGACTAACGGCACCTACTGCAGACTTGATGTTCTTACATGTGTGTCTGTCACATACTTGAAAGACCAGTACTCCAGAGTGTGTCACAGTCAGGTTGATCCGTATTCCCTCTCCATCGTGGGCTGGGTGAGGCCTGATCCCATACATGTCCAACTTCCTTGCCACTTCAAGCAGCTGGATATCCGACTCTGCTGGAGAGGCACCTCTACAGACAAAGGTGATAACAAACACAGGTTATATTGACCAAACATGTCCCTGATATGACCTTACAGCCACTGTGCAAACATCTCTTGGTCTTACTGGTTAATGTTTAAAACCAGTGGGTGAAAACCATTTGGGTGGATTTTGTGTTGTGTAAAGTTTTGCAGCCTTGCAGATATTTATACTTCTTACTTGGTGGCTATGTTTGGAGTGAAAATGAATTCAGCTGGGATGAAATAGTATGGGACACAAGAGCATTTAGAGCATCTTTTCTGTCCCCATGTGCACCTGTGTTTCTTGTGTAGCTTGATGATCTTGTGGTCCAGATATTCCTGGTTGGGGACATACTGCTTCATCTCCAAATGCTGACAGTCCAGCTCCTCGTCATAATCCCCTAGCTCTGCTGTAACACACACATTATACAAACATGCTTGGTAAATCAATATTTACATGTAAATAAACTCACTGTGCATGTTCTGTACAATCTCAAGGTACTTTTGTGAAGAACTGTGGCTTAGAAGGCTTAAGCTTTTCTATGAAATGTGAAAAGTATGGGGTCATGTTTTCACAATCCTCGATGAATAATAATTATAAGTACAGGCAAATTACTGTGTGATTAGATTGAACATATTTAATAAATGATGTGATGTATTGTTATGCTTACACTGCAGTATATGAGAGACCAGCAGGGCGGCACTGTTGTCATTACAGGTCAGACTACCGTTAGACAAGTCCTGCTTTATCTGTAAGGCAAAAAGATACCTACCCACACACAAACATTATTTCTTACAATTTTTCTCATGTATTAGAAAACACTTGCACTTTGCAGTTTAGTTTGTAATTAAATATGTAATTTTCAGAGTAGGATGCATATGTGTGTGTGTTTTTATGTGTGAATATAGCAGTGATGGCTCTGAAACTGTAATACTGTAACATCCATCCATCTATTATCTATACCTCTTATCCCGATGAGCCAGTCCCGGCTGGCATGATGTAAGAGGCGGGTGACACCCTGGACAGGGTCACCAGTCTATCACAGGGCTGATGCTTAGAGACAAACCACACACTCAATCCTACAGGCAATTTAGAGTCGCCAGTCAACTTAATCTACATGTCTTTGGACTGTGGGAGGAAGCCAGAGCACCCAGAGAGAACCCACGCAGGCACAGGGAGAACATGCAGACTGCACACAGAAAGAGCCCGGGTCGGCCGGGACTCAAGCCTTTAACTTTCTAATATTGTAAAAAATTATGTTAACAACAAAGATTTAAAAATACATTGATAGAATCACAAGCACTGTTACCTGGTGAGGCCTTTTTTAAGCTGCCCTGGGTCTGGTGGGAAGAATTTGACTATAAACCTGAAGAACAGATCATTGTTGTCTGAGAGAAAAAAGAAAAATAAATGTGGGATTACTAATGTGTAGAGAGAAGAAGATAGATGACAGGAGGGAAAGCATCTATTATAAGTGTTTTCAGATGATTATCAATATCTGTCAAGCAAGATGTGAAATATGCTTTCTCATTTGGTAGTATTAGTGATGTGCATTATTTACACCAATAAAATGTAGTTTGAGTTTCTTATATGTGAAGGGAATTATGCGACTTACGTTTGATCTGTTTGGCCAGTGGCTTCAGCAGCTCCAGCCACACCTGCAATAGAAACATATTACATGTGTTAGGCTTCAGGTTGGATAGGACCCAAAGTGCAGACACAGACTAGAGTCTAGTGTGTATACTGTTTAATATAACTAAAGAGGAACACAGGGGCAAGAAAAACAAAGTACTTAACCTGACAGGGCTTCACAATACAGGTGTCTAAACAGAACGATCAGGGAGCTACATAACAAAATTAGGGAACTGAAGCTAGCGATCTCTAAAACAGGTGAAAAACAAAGAAGGCAGTCTTAGTCACAGGTAGTGATGGTCATCTGATACCCGAGGCTCCAACACATGCGTGGTAGCTCATGAAGCAGTTGTATCAAACCACTGTGCCGAGGCATGTTTTGGTTAGGAAAAATCATGTGATTTATGATGTATGAAGCACTTTACTCCTTCATCGAAACCCTGTCACTGGTTTGGTTGTCTCGGCTCTTTAGAAGAGCTCTGAGCTGAGCCTTCGAAGCAAATAGAGACTGAATCAACACAGACTTGGTTTGACAATGTTACATTCAGTACTAAAGATTCTATAACATTACTAAACCAAAATGTCAGGCTGAGCATATAGCTATAGCCTACTGCAATCAGACATGCCAAATAAGAAACACTGTCTTCAACATGAGTTCATGTTTATTTTATATTTTATTGTGGCAGCTTGAAACCATACAACCATGTAGTGTAGTCAAACAGGAGTGTGCATGGCGAATCATATCCCAAACAATACATGAACCAATAAGTGACATGTCTCTATTGCACTTCATTTTATTGACCACTAGATGTCCTACTTGAGCCTCGAGTAATTGAACCATTTTTTTGAATACCGTGTTGAAGCTTCAACAAAGCCTTGATCAGCCATCACTAGTCACAGGATCACAAAGTCCTAAGACAAGGCAAGGATAAAGCCCAGAACTTACAAGTGTCAAGCAGAAAACGAGAGCAAGGGAACTAACCGGGTGACCAGGCACAGAGCACGGGAAACAGGAGTAAGAGTATAGAACGACAGAAGCAACAAGGCACGGAGACCAGATGAACCAGCACCTAAGGGAAGGGAAGGAATATAAATACACAGGCAACCAAGGGATTCATGAGGGACAGGTGAACACAATGAGTGATTGTAGACTGGAGTAAAGCTGGGGCAGGTGAGGTGACACAAGACAGGAAGCTAACCAAAATAAAAGCACCAAACAGGAAGCAAGACTGCAAACCATAACAACATGGCCAAAAAACAAGTATGTGTGTGTGCGTGTGAAAGAAAGTGAAATATTCTGCTTGTGTTTTTTGCTTCCTACATAGCTGCCGCTGTGGTGTCTAAACTCCAGCCCAAAGTACTCTTTCTCCAACAGTTTCAGATGACCACACACTTTGTTGAAGAAGTCGCCACCTAAAACCTTTTGCTGAGAGAGACAAAAAGACAATCAAAGTGAGGATAAGAAAGTGAGAGGGATAATAGGAATTTTTAATCGAAACTCTTTTAAAACTGCAGTCCAGAGATACTCAGGGGGAGCCCAGACTTTGTGGTGCAGCTCAGTTATTTTATTCACTAAAGTTCTGCATAAAGAGACAGAACGTTTGAGTTCACCCTGAAAACAACTGACATGCACTGCACACCATATAACACAGAATACTGTAGAACACAGTCCTGGAACTGCTGCCACGTGACACTGCACACAATAAATGCTAACAAAAATACAATGATAAGCCTTATATTAGAAGGTGATGGCATACCTGGTGTTTCAAATGGACACATGTATTATGTTTGTGTTGACCAGCTTTTTGCTTCATCTTTTGACTTGCACATAAACACAACTCAACTAATGCAACTAATTGTGTTTTTATTACTGACTAAGCCTCCATTTATTTCCTTGGTTCAGGTGTTTTTATTAAAAATAGCTTTGAGTATATTGTTTCATTGAGCCAATAATCCAAAGACTTTAAGTTTACAATGATATAAAACAAAAAAAAACAGTTATTTTTGGCATTTTTGCTTAAGAAATGTTTTAAATGCCTAAAGAATTAATCATTGCAACTCAGCAGCTCTACAGTGTGGACACAATTTTTTTTGATAGAACAAAAAGACACAAAAGAGCAGCAGTTGAGAAAATGCAAACACAGAGGCATTTAAAACATTTGCAAAAAGATTTGTCAAAACAAATGTAACAAAATCACAAGTAAATTAAATTGCAAAATTCTCATATTGGTGTACATATAATCAATATATATGAAGTGATCAAAATCAGCTTGTCAGTGTGTTACCATACAGACAGAAAAAATATAACTTGCTTGTGTATTTAGTGGATATGTGATAGAAGCATGGGAAAGATATGTAACTTATATTAGAACTGCTTAAAATGGATTTCTGTCCCTGACTCATGTTGAAATTGCAGGTCTTAGGGAAGACACAGTGTGATTTTTCTCTTCACATGCCCTGGTTTATTCTATTCTATTCTTTCACTTCATTTCTTCTTCCTGCTCTCTCTTCCTTACCCTTGTTTGTGTCCTTCTTGCTTCCTCACTGTCTCCTACACTTTCTGACTCATTACACTTTCTTTATGTTTTCTCTCCTCCTCCTTTTCTCACCATTTACCACCATTCCCTCCATCTTAGTCCTTCACAGTGTTACATACTGTATTTTCTGCACTTTGTGGAGGTGTTTCCTCTTTAATATTTTCTAGACAGTGCCCTCTATTGAATGTTTTAATGCCACAGCCTCTTTAAAAAAAGCTTTACAAGCTAAAATCCAGTGCGAATTTGACCTGAATATCAGAGATGTGCACCCTTTACACCCATTCTTTTACCCTTTCTTATTCTTTCTATCTAATTTTCTGGCCTCCTTGCTCCTCTTTTCCATTCTGTACTCTCTCTTATCTCTTCCTCCTTCCATCCTTATTTTCATCTCCCTTCCTCGCTCATCTCTCTAATTATCAAGATGGTGTTTGTGTGTTGTTCCCTTACTGCAGCAACACAAGGGTTTTTTTATGCGTCTGGTGTTTAGCACCCTGGTGGGGGTCACCGGACGTCCCTCATTAACTTGTCATGAGGGAGGGAGAGAGAGAGGGAGGAAGAGGAGGGGCAGAGCAGCTGTAACCGATTATAAAGAGAACACAGGCCTAACCCATGATTAGTGGAAACAAATAGCCGCCCCCAGACCAACAGAGCGGAGCAGAGGAAAAACGAGTGGAATGCAACTTTATTGTCCACTCTGATAGCTGACAACTGTCCTCTCAAACACAACTGATTTGGCTTGACTGTTTTTCTCAGTCACTTCAGTACATTTCTCAAATCATCCTTGATATCTGAGCTTTTGTCAGAACAGCACCACACAATAGATTACCTGCAAAAGTGTGCCACTTGCTCAAAATCTTTAGTTTATCTCTTAAAAGTAAATACTTATGTCAGTGAACATGTCAGTGTGTCAGAATGAACAGCCCTTGTGTCATTATTTATGAATATGACAGTCAAAATGATTAGTCATATTGTCAGATTTTGATGACAGTTATTGAAAATACACAAGGCTAACTCCAAAGGCACAACACAGAATACTCAGTGAGGTGAAACAGAGCCCTAGAGTAACAGCTAAAAACCTGAAGGATTCATTGGAGTTGGTTAACATCTCTGTTCATGAGTCAACCATACGCAAACTATTGAACAGGTGTAGTATCCATGGCAGGACATTACAAGTGCTATGGATGAGAAGAAATACACGATAGGAATATTTATTGACCTAAAAAAGGCATTTGACACAATCAATCATGAGTTATTAATGGATAAGTTAGAAAAATATGGGATCAGAGGAATGGCTCTGAAATGGATTAGTAGTTATTTGACACAGAGGCGTCAATTTGTGAAGTTGGGTGAATACCAATCGAGTGAGCTGGACATTGTATGTGGAGTGCCTCAGGGTTCTGTTTTGGGACCTAAATTATTTATATTATACATTAACGATATATGCAAAGTTTCTGATTTAGTGAAAGTGGTTTTATTTGCTGATGACACTACCATATGGGCATCGGGTGAAAACCTACAGCAACTCTCTGGA